GCCGACGAAGTGACCGAGTCAGGGCTGGTGCAGGACTTTGCCGCCAGCCTGTCGGGCATCGGCCAGGAGCTGGGCGCTGGGGCCTACAGCATGAGGTAGGTGGGCTGCTCCGGCCACCCTAAAGGGCTCATCGCACACCTGGGAGAGGGGTTGGCCTCCCCCCGGGGGGCTCGGGGTGGGCTGGGGAGCCCCAAAATACCTCTAAAGTATAAATACCCCTAAAGCTGAGCTGCTGGCCAGCACATTTGGTGGCCACGGGGATGGTTCAGGAGGTAGCCGGGCGCTCAGCTCCGGCACCAAGCCTGGGACGTGGTGGTGGCCGTGTGAAGTTGGGATGGAGTTGCGGTTGCAAAGAGCCCGTGGGATGCTCATGGCTTTGGGGGGCTCCGCTGAGCAGCTCTTACGGCGAGTGGGTGCGCTTGAGGACATGGGGCTGCGCAGCCCCTGCACCGCTTTCGCTCTTTGGCCTCCTGCGACCTCAAAGTGTGGCAGAATCACCCAGCGTTAGTCCCACGCTTCTCCTCCACTGCTGGTTGGAAGAGCCCGTGGCCGGTTGCTTTGGTTTTGTGCAGCGTACGGTAATCACCCCAGGAGCTGTGAGCTTTGCCCTAATTAATTTTCCTCCCAGAGGGACACCAGCATGGTTTTTTTTTCAGGTCAGACCAGCTCTGTCCTGACCCTGAGCTAAACCAAAAGCAAAGGGGAGGACCAGGACCCCCGGGGCGTCAAATGCCCCATGTGTGAGCGCAGGGATCGGGATGTCGTAGTGTCGGATGCTCAAACCGCGTTGCACAAGTACGTGGCCCGTGCTTCGGGCCCAGCTTGCTTCGCCGTTTGGCCGAGCCCCTGTGCAGCAGCGAGGCCAAAGCGCTGTGCCACGCTCGCCGTTCGAGACCCGTTAACGCCTCATTTCTGGCTGCGTGAGTTATACCGGGGAAGCGCAGCCCGCGGATGAGGGGTTGGACTGGATGGGGTCTGCCGAGTCGGTCTGCAAGTGGCCACACGCTTCCCCGCCACCGTCCTTGATTAATTAGCTCCATCGTGGGCCGATGCAGATCCAATGCCATCTGTGAGCGAGCTGCCTTGGTGTTATTTGGGGTGAGAGCTTTATTAGTTCAAATGCAACTTTCCGTTCCGCTTGTGTTCATCCTGGGACTCCCCTCGGCTGGAAGCGAGGAGGGAGGACGAGGCGGATCCCTCCCCGCAGACCCGAGGCAGGCGGCGAAGGAAGGTCTGGAGCTTGGGGCTGCGGTGAAGCCGTCCGGGAGGAGGATGTCACAGGAGGATGCCTTGACACCACCAGACTGGGGCTGTCTGAGGTGGCTGCAATTGGAAATGGTATAATTCAGAATTAAAAATGACCCGTCGGGTGGTTCCTTATGGTAAAACAGGCTGGAAAATGACTCCCGGTCCGCTGCCCTTTTCCAGGGGAAGAGGAAGAGCAGCTCTTCTCATCCCTCTGTTGCTCCTGCCTTCCAGGGACGAGGGGAGCCAGCACCTCCCCAGAGTTATCCCTGACCGCCGTTAGGATCCATCACAACCTTTGGGTTTTTTTTTTAATTGGAGTGCTTGGGGGGAAAAAAGACAAAGCCCCAAAGGTGCGTGAGCTCGGAGGGAGCATGTCCAGCACCTCTCCCGGCAATAGCAACGCCGAGTGCTTTTCGGAGGAGGGATTCCTCCTTTGATGGGAAGGGAGGGAATGAGTTTCCAGGCTGTGCAGGGGAGGTGCAGCTTTGCTTTGTGGGGGGGAGTCGTGAAGCTCCAAAGGTCCTTTTGCTCCCTTCCTGCTGCTTTTTGGGGAAGGGGTCCTGTGCACAAGCGCTCCCCTCTCGGACAGGGCGAGCAAAGGTTTCGTGGATGATCTTAACGTATAGAGTTGCCTCCATTGACCTAAAACCCATTTGCCGTACATCAGTTTTAATTGCACGAGGAGATGTTGCAGCTGTGAGCTTCGAAGCGTTTACATCCTTTACCTACCCCAGCTGACCCAGCTGGCCACCAGTTTTCAGCGCCGGAGGTTTCCCGAGGCCACGGCTCTGAACCAAACCAGCTGCAAAGCTTTTCCATGCCGGTATTACGAGTGAAAAAGAGCTTTGGGCTCCGTGTCGGTGGCGCAGCGGCTGCTGAGCCCGAGCTGTGCTCTCTGCGGGGCTCTCTCAGCCGTCTGAAACCCGACTCTGTTTTTGGGAGACTTTTCTTGCCCGTAAATAGAGCGTGTGGCCCCGTAGGTGAGTGCGCCGACCTTCCTGTCCTGACATCTGACATTTTCTCTCGGTATCGCGGGAAGAAGGGAAAGCTTTCAACAGGCACCTCGGGTTTTGCGGGTGTTTGTGGCTTTTTTGTGCTTTGCCCTTCTCCCTATGGAAGAGGCACGGTACTACCTTGGGAACGAGCGCTGGTAGGTGGTGGTGGAGGATGAGGGTTGTCGCTCAGGCTGGAAGCTTTTTCTCGTTTGAGTTGCAGGGTAGGATTGTGCTTTGCGTTTGTTAACGAACCTGAATTCTTGGGGTTGCTGTTGTTCCCTGGAATTAGGTTTTTAGGAGAGCAGAGGTGGCTTTGGAGGCGATCATCGGGCATTGGCTGAATACTTCCATCCACAGAAGTTTTCTGTAATTATTTTTTTTCCCCTCTTTTCCAGGAGATTCTCTCCCACGCCAGAACCGGAGGACTTAAGTGAAGTGTCTTTCCCCAAAAGCACGTTAAATTGCACAGTCAATTGTTGTGGGTTGTTTGGTTTGGTTTGGTTTTTTTTTAAGGGAGGTGTGTCCCCAGGAGTTGCAGGAACTTCTCTGGGTGCCTTTGGAGCAGGCAGGACCACGCGTGGGTTTGTCTAACGAAAAATCTGCTGACGGCTGCTGGGTTTGGCCACGCTGGGCATGGCGGGGACGTCGCAGGGGGCTGCTCGTGGGATGTCAGTACCTGAAGGACTCCCAGCTTCCCAAAAGAGCCTGTAAAATGCCTTCTCTGGAACTCGGCAGCGATGGCAGGCTGGGAGACGAGCAGGAGGCGAAATAACAAAGTGCTTTCTGTGCCGCTGGGAATCGCCTTGCAGGCTGTGGCCGCGGCGTTTTGCTGCCGTTTGCAGGTGGCTGAGGTTGTCCTTCCCCTGGAGATGCCGGGAGGACACCGGGCCTGGGAGCTGCCGCCCTTTCCCGTGCTGTTTTATAACCGTGCCATATCTATAAGTATCTATCTATCTGCCGTATCTATAACTTTTCATTGTGCCCTGCAGCGTGTAAAGCTGACCTGATTCCCTGGGTGCTGTAGCACGGGAACATCACGGTGTCTGACCGCCCGGAGGTCCCATCCGAGGGCTCTTAGCCAGACCCGTGGCCGTTGGGATGGCGCAGGATCGCTCCCCGCAGACTGAGGGGTCGCGGTGACGCTCCTCCGTCCATCCATGCGGATTTGCACCGAGAGCAGCCCTGCTTCCCCAACAGCTGCTTGCAAAAGCATATTGTCGTTTGCTTGATGATTATTCCTGATTAATTGGGTTGGACTCTTGTTCCAGAAATACAGGGATGCCGCTACCCAAAGTTATCGCCCCTTTTGCAGCTCGAAATAAAACGTGGGTTTCAGGTTATGGTTATGCGGAGTCTTAGCGAACACAAATCTAGAGGCTGGATCTGGGGAGGTTTTGCAGGGATGGTTCTGCCGTTCCTCTCGGCGGGTGTCCGAGCGCTGTTAGTGGCCGTGTGGAGCTTCTGGAGCCCTGAAGAGCAGCTTGTGATTTTTTTTTTTTTTCAGTGGACCGCAGTGCTGTGTGACAGTGATCCAGCATCGCGTGAGAGCTCTGCGTGCGCAGGAGAAGGGAGCGAAAGCCGGGATGACGGCGACGTGCTGGCTCTCCGTGCAGGGAGGTCACAGTCGAGCTTTGCCTCTCTCTCCCCCAGACTGGTTTTGTGCGAGGCAAAGCAAAAGAAAGAGGGAAACTCAGGGTGTCGCGCGGCTTCAGAAGCGGGATTGAAGCATTGCCGTGTCAAAGCCTACGAGGAAAACGAGCGCTCGTGCGTGCAGGAGAAGCGTATCCTGCGTTCCTCCGGCTGCCAGGAGGATTTGCGCAGGGCGTAGCCTTTAAATTAATTTTCCCATCTGTCGGGGTGCAGCAGGTTAGTGCTGGTCTTCCCCATCCTCGCGCCTTGTGCTTTCTTACAGGGATCAGTAACATCCGTGCTTCGTCCCGCTTCGGCCGCCTGCTCGGGCGAGAAATCCTTCTGCCGGAGGAACCGCCGTTCCTCTGCTAATGAGATGGAGCTGAAGGGAAGTTCGTCCTCCGAGTTGTGTAATTTACCTAATTGTTGTACATGTGCCTTGATGCCGAGACCGGGCCATCATCACGGCTCTGTGTAACGTCTGAAAAGTTGGGATTTGGGTGGGGATGGGCTCTCCTGCTCGGTTTGGGCAGCAGCGATAGGCGTTACTTGCACAGCGCTGGAGGAAGGGTGGATATTTGGTCCCTTGAGACCAAAGGGTTAAAGCCCTGTTACGGTGGGAGCTGGTATTTGGCCAGATACGTCCAGTTTTTCCTTGGGAAAGGTTTTTAATGTTCAACTAAAGGGGGGAAAAAAAAGCTGATTTAACTCCTTCCTTGCACTCACCTGAGCATCCGAAGCCCGGGAGCCTGTAGGAATGGAGGAAGGTGACCTGACTCCTCATCAGAGCTTAGTCCTTCGCTACTGCCCTTCGAAGGGACCCAAATAGCTCTGCCACGTTTCACTGGGGGGGGGGGGGGGGGGGGGGGTGGGGGGCCCTCATATTCTAATAAGCAGAGGCTGAAAATTGCATTTCTAAAGCTACAGTATTAAAGGGCACACTGCAAAACATGACCCAAACGTAACTCAGTAGTTCTACACTGTCTGTAGAGGCTTTGATATGATAAAGTATGCTGACGAGGGGGTGCTCGAGCGCGTTTGCCCAGGCTCTGCTTTTGCTTTGGGCTCTGCTCAGATGGATGGATGGATGGATGGGAGGATGTTCTGGTTTATGCACTACAGAGTAAGCGCACTTGGCCATTATTATGGCTCAAAACAACTGCTGAGAGTCAGCTTCTGAAGCAATTTCTATTAAATACATGTCCATAGGCTCAGGGGTATCACTGATGGTTTTTAAATTAACGTTATTCAGCAAGTTCTTGTTGCCATGTGGACTTTTGAGTATAGAAAAGTGTCTGTGATCGCAGCGGGGTGGAGACAGCGACCTTTTTGCATGATCGCAAAGATGTGGAGGCATCCTTCTCCTGGGAAAAGTTGGTAGCACGGGGCTTGAACACCCTCGCTTTTCCCGGCCAGCGCCAGGACCAGCGTGGCAGCATCCAGATGATGATGATCCCGAGCTCGTGCCAGCTGGAGCAGCTCCGTGCTGCGCTGTGGGACGGCGCGGACCTCCCGCAGAACTCGTCTCTTATAACCTGATAGTCAGGAAGGTGCTCGGGCTGGTGCAGGTGGATGGCTTGTGGTGAAGCCATCCTGATGGCATCCCCAGGGCAGCTCCTCCTGCCGTTAAATGTAGGCTGGGCAGGAGCCCTGGCGGCTTTTGGCAAGAGGCGATCCTGTAAGGTGTAAAAGAGGTGCCTGTGGTTGTCTCGGAACCCTGGGTCTGCTTTCTCCCACGGCCCGTGGCGCAGGGACCCACGGCGTGGGTTGTGTTGCCAGTGACATGCAGCATCTTCCGACCTCCGTGCGCATCCCAAGCTCCCGGTTTGGGTCGGGGCCGGCTGGCTGCGGGGTGCCCAGCAGAAGGGCTCTGGGGGCTTGTCAATGAGTTTGGGGTAGGTTGGGGGTCCACCTCGTGCTGCTTTCATGCTGGAAGGGCTCTTTCTGTGTTGGAGCCCGCAGGATTTGCTCCAGCGAGATGTTTGTCTGCGTCATGCAGCAGGTTACAGCAGCGGGAGGGAGGGTTTGCTGCTCCGACCACACGTTCCCCCCTGTCCGATGTGCCCCCGAGTTCTTTGCCTCC